TTTTCCCTCCCCGTTGGAGGGTTCAATGCAGTAAATCCTAGGGTAGACCATTTCTTTTTCACTTGGTAGTCAGAGTAAGATACCGATGAGTATCTGATGTTTCTTAACAGTTCCCAAGTCTGTACAATATTAAGTGAAAGCTTGGTATAACTGTTTTTTAAAGTTTTAAAAAATTTGAGAAGTTTTTGTTCAGAATTTATTTTCCAAATACATTTAAGAATTTAATTTTATTAAATTAATTAAATTGTTTTAAATTTGAGAATTTAAAACATTTACAGATTTATAATGCTGCAAGTATTTGAAAACATAGCCAAATATTCCCACAGTATACAGATTACCAATAGCAGGTTTGATGTCTTCAGCAGAGATCAAATATAAATATACACATATATACACATGCAAATAGACTCATGGTATATACATTTTTTTCACAGCTTATTTTCTTTGCAACTGAAAGGCTTGATATCTCTTAGTATATGTTCACTTCCTTCATCCTTTGCATTTTTATACACATTTTAGAATCAGTTTATTGATTTCTACAAAAAAGTTTATTAGGATTTTGATTGGGATTGCAGAGAATATAATGATCAATTTAGGGAGAATATATATTTTTATGCTATTGAGTTTTCTAATTCATTAATATGATGTATGCTTTTATTAGGCTTTTAATGTCTCTAATATTTTATAGCTTTTTGTGTAGAGTTCTTCTACATGTCTCATTAGACATTTCCAGTTACATGACATTTTTTGATGTTGTTTTAAGTGGTGTATTTTTCAAAACATTTAATTTTCTAATTGTTTATTGATATATAGACTTAAAAATATTCACTTTGTATCTAGTGACCTTGCTACAGTCATGTATTTGTTGTAATAGTTTATGTCTGTATTCTTTTTGACTTTTTTACATACACAGTCAGACCTGCTGATGAAGACAGTTTTATTTCCTCATTTCCAATTATTACATCTTTAATTGCCTTATTTGTGTTGACTGGTCCTGCATACAGTGTTGAATAGAAATAGTAACAGTGACTGTCCTCTTCTTGTTCCTAATCTTAGTGATAAAATGTTTCATATATCACCGATGTATATGATGTTTGCTATAGACACATTGTAGATGCTCTTTATCGGATTAAGGAAGTTCTCTTCTAGTCTTATTGTGTTAAGAATTTTTGTCATGAGTGGACTTTGAATTTTATCAGTTTTTTCATATATAGAGATGATCATATGATTTTTTTTCCTTCATTGATTTTCTAATATTAAACCAATCTTGCATTCCTGGAATAATCCCCAATTGGTCATGATACTTCATCCTTTTTATGCTTAATTGGATTTGATTTGCTTTGTATTTTTTAAAAAAATATTTTTGTTTATATTAATGAGAAAGATTAGCCTGTAATTTTCCTTTCATCTCATGTCCTTCTCAGGCTTTGCTATCATGCTGAGTTCAAAATAAATTCCCTCTTTGGAAGAGATTATTTATGATTGGTGTTATTTTTTTCAGATATTTGGACAGATTCACTGATAAAGTCATCAGGACCTGGTATTTCATTTGTGGGAAGTTTTTAATTACAGATTCACTTTAATAAATATAGGACTATTTAAATTTTTAACTTCTCTGCCAGTTTTTGTAAATTTTGCCTTGCTGTAAATTCATCTCTTATGTACAATTTCAAATTAGTTGGTATAACTTTTGTTGTGTAATATCCTTTTATGATGATTTTAATGTTTTGATTGCTGATATTGATAATTTGTTTCTTTTCTTTTTTTCCTAATTAGTTTTTCTAGATATCTGTCAATGTTAGTGTTTTCAAAGAACCAATTTTTAGATTATAAGGCTTGATTTACGGTAGTGGAAGTTCTTTAAGATTGACAGGGAGTTTCTTCTTAGTTTTTTCAATAGTTTTGAGAGTACGGGTAGGCTTTGGTTACATGGATGAGTTCTTTAGTGATGAAATATGAGATTTTAGTGCACCTGTCACCTGAGCAGTGTACACTGTGTCCAATATGTAGTCTTTTATTTCTCAGCCCCTTCCAACCTCCCTCCACCAAGTCCACAGAGTCTGTTATATCACTTTGTATGTCTTTGTGTCCTCATAGCGTAGCTCCCACTTGTAAATGAGAATATGCGGTATTTGCTTTCCCATTCTTGAGTTTCTTCACTTAGAATAATGCCTTCCAGCTCCATCCAAGTTGCTGCAAAAGATATTATTTCATTCCTTTTAATAGCTAAGTGGTATTCCATGGTGTGTATATACCACATTTTCTTATCCACTTTTTGGTCAGTGCGTATTTAGGTTGGTTCCATGTCTTTGCAGTTGCGAATTGTGCTGCTATAAACATGCATGTGGATGTGTCTTTTTCATATAATGACTTCTTTTCCTTTGAATGGATACCCAGTAGTGGGATTGCTGGATCGAAAGGTAGATCTATTTTTAATTCTTTAAGGAACCTCCATACTGTTTTCTGTAGTGGTTGTACTAATTTACACTCCCACCAGCAGTGTAAAAGTGCTCCCTTTTCACTACATCCATGCCAACATCTATTGTTTTTTGATTTTTAAATTATGACCATTCTTGCGGAAGGTGGTGTCTTATTGTGGTTTTAATTTGCATTTCCCAGATGATTAATGATGTTGAGCATTTTTGTTTTTCATGTGTTTGTTGGCTGTTTGTCTATCTTGTTTTGAGAACTGCCTATGTATGTCCTTTTTCCACTTTTTTATGTGATTTTTTTTTTCTTGCTGATTTGAGTTCCTTGTAGATTCTGGATACTAGTTTTTTTTGTCAGATGCATAGTTTGCAGATATTTTCTTTGTGGGTTGTCTGTTTACTCTGTTGATTATTTCTTTTGTGTGCAGAAGCTTTTTAGTTTGAGTAGGTTCCATTTATTTGTTATTGTTTTTGTTGCATTTGCCTTTGGGTCTTACTCAGGAATTCTTTGCTTAAGCCTATGTTCAGGAGAGTTTTTTTCGATGTTATCTTGCAAAATTTTTAAGGTTTCAAGTCTTGGATTTAAGTATTTTATCCATCTTGAGTTTTTTTTTTTGTGTGTGTAGAGATAGATGGGGACCCAGTTTCATTCTTCTACATGTGGCTTGTTAGTTTTCCCATCACCATTTATTGAATAAGGTGTCTGTATTAATCCGTTTTTATACTGCTGATAATGACATACCCAAGACTGGGCAATTTACAAAAGAAAGAGGTTTATTGGATTTACAGTTCCATGTAGCTGGGGAGGCCTCACAATCATGGTTGAAGGTGAAAGGCACTTCTCACATGGCAGCAGACAAAGAGAAGAGAGAATGCAAGCCAAGCAAAATGGGTTTCCCCTTATCAAACCATCAGATCTTGTGAGACTTTTTAACTACCATGAGAGCAGTACGGGGAAAACTGCCCCGATGATTCAGTTATCTCCCACCAGGTCCCTCCCACAACACGTGGGAATTATGGAAGTACAATTCAAGATAAGATTGGGGGGGGGGGGCGGACACAGAGCCAAACCATATCAGTGTTTTTTTTTTCCCAGCTTATGTTTTTGTATGCTTTGTTGAATACCATTTGGCTTTATTTCTGGGTTCTCTATTTTTTTTTTTTCCATTGCTTATTTTTATTCCAGTATCATGCTGTTTTGGTAACAATAGCCCTGTAGTATAATTCAAAGTCCCATAATGTGATACTTAATATTGCTTTGGCTGTTCAGGCCTTTGTTTGGTTCCATGTGAATTTTAGGATTGTTTTTTCTAGTTCTTGGGGAAAATGATGATGATATTTTCATGGGAATTGCATTGAATCTGTAGATTGCTTTTGGCAGTACAGTCATTTTTACAATATTGATTCTTGTTATCTGTGAGCATGGCATGTGTTTCCATTTGTTTGTGTCATCTGTGACTTTTTTTTTTTTTTTTTTTTTTTTTTTTTTAGCAGTGCCTTGTAGTTTTTCTTGTAGAGATCTTTAATTTCCTTGGTTAAGTATATTCCTATGTATTTTATTTTTATTTTTTGCAGCTGTTGTAAAAGAGATTGAGTTCTTGATTTGATTCTCAGATTGGTTTTTGGTGTATGGCAGTGCTACTGATTTGTTTCATTGATTTTGTACCTGAGACCTTACTTTACTGAATTAATTTATTAGATCTAGGAATCTTTTGTATGGCGGGTTTTCTGGGTGTATCATTATATCATTGATGGATAGTCACAGTTTGTCGTCTTCTTTTCCAATCTGGATGCCCTTTATTTCTTTCTCTTGCCTGGTTGCTCTGATTAGGTCTTCTAGTATTATATCAGAGACAAGTGAAAGTGGGCATCCTTATCTTGTTCCAGTTCTAAGGGGGAATGCTTTAAACTTTTCCCCATTCAGTGTGATTTGATTGTGGGTTTGTCATATATGGCTTTTATTACTTTGAGGTAAGATGGGGCTTTTCTTTATTCTTTGTATTCTTATATGAATTTTGGAATCAGTTTGTCAATTTCCTTAAAAAAGTTATGGGATTTTGATTGTTATCTATAGATTTTTTCTGTTGTGCGTTTGCTTTCTATTTCATTAATTTCTGTTCATCTTTATTATGAGATTTTTGCTTTTCAAAGCATGATCAAATTTATTTGATGATTCTTTTAAAACATATCTATTTGCTTGCTTGTGGTAGATAAGAAGCTCCTAATATTATTTTTTTCTTAAGTAATTGATACAAACTTGCTGAAAAAGGACACTCGAACAGAGGATATCCAAGGGACAGAGACTCTGTTAATAGAAGTGTTTTTCTACAAGCACACATGAACCCACCACTCATGGATAGCAGTTTTCCCACAATGTGTCTTATTGTCCCAAACTGCTAATATTATTTTTCAAAACGTAGATTAAATGGAAAGGGGTTTACACTTTAGAAAGAGGAATTAGTAAAGAAGGGAAGGTATACATTTAAGAAAATTTAGTGCTTAATTCAGTGATTCTGACCCTGTCTCAGTGTTTAAAAATGCTAATTGGTGTGTTTATCCTTGCTTTTCTAGTGATATGCAGCTTTCGAGGATCTGTCCCTCAAGGGTTGGTCTTAGAAATAGGAGAAACAGTCCAGATTCTTGAAAAATGTGAAGGTGAGTATGGACCTGCAAAGCACATAAATTGTGATCATTTTTGGCAGTATTATATACATTTATTTTGTGCTAATAAGATTATAAGCAGTAATTCTGGAGCCATAATTAGTCACATGATGAAATAGTGTTATATAAAATTCTTTCTGATCTATGTTCAGCATAAAGGTGTGAGCTTTTTTGATTCTAATGTTAGCAACAATTAGATAATTAATTTCTGGCTGTCAGAACATGTTTTTTACATATATTTATGGGGTACATGAGATACTTTGGTACAGACATACAATGTGTAATAATCACATGGTAAATGTAGTATCTATCACCTCAAGCATTTACTTTTTTTTTGTGTTGCAAAAGTTCCAGTTGTACTCTCTCAATTATTCAAAAATGTGCAACAAATTATTGCTGACTGTAGTCACCCTATCGTGCTATCAAATACTAGATCTTACTCATTGTATCTAACTGTATTTTGTGCCCTCTTATTTATTTTTTACAAATAGGTAATCTACCCATGCTTAGCTGCCTTTGAATAGAACTACCTTATAGTCCATTCATTTGTGTGTTTCCATCTGATTGACTGGGCATGTTTAGTCCTAATTAAAACAAGCCCTTAAATATTTTTTGATTTTTATTTATAATTTTTTTTGAGAGGGAGTCTTGCTCTTGTTGCCCAGGCTGGAGCACAATGGTGCAATCTTGGCTCACTGCAACCTCTGCCTCCCGGGTTCAAGTAATTCCCCTGCCTCAACCTCCCTAGTAGCTGGGATTATAGGCACCTGCCACCACATCCAGCTAATTTTTGTAGTTTTAGTAGAGATGGAATATCACCATGTTGGCCAGGCTGGTCTTGAACTCCTGACCTCAGGTGATCCACCTGCGTCAGTCTCCCAAAGTGCTGGGATTACAGGTGTGAGCCACTGTACCCAGCCTAAATACGTTTAAATGTAGTTTGGCTTGACTGCTATCCTCTTCTGTGGCATATATGGGTATTTCTACTGTAACATTTACACATTCTTGAGATGGATCATGTTCTCCAGAATCTGTACTTAACTCAGTAAGATATGTGGGAAAAATAAATTTAGAGAGAAATTACACAAAATCAGAGTATTAACAAAAGCAAAATTGATGCCATGGGAAATAACTTGGACAGCCTGGACTAGCAGTTCAGCATGGCTACAAGCCATCTCAGATGATATAATGAAGTAGAACTGTTGCAGTGTGGGTATAGAACCAATGTATATGGGAGTGGAGCTCTAATCTAGTTGGGTTACTGTTAAGAGGGGTATGGGGGGACATGTAACCTACCATGACCCAGGAATCATATATATTTAGGAATGCACTTTTTCTGGAAAGTGAGCTACACCCGTTCAAAATTTTTTAAAGAACAGAAGTATAAATCGGCACCCTTTTATGATAACAACTCTAAGGAAACTGAGAATAGAAGGTAATTTTCTTTATCTAATAAAGGGTAGCTACTAAAATACCTGTAGCAAACATCATATTCAGTCGTAAAGTATTGAAAGAGTTTTCACTGAGATCTGAAAGTGAGACAAGAATACCTACTGTCTTATTCTGTTTATTTGTTGTTATAAAGGAGTACTTGAGCCTGTATAATTTATAAAGAAAAGGGGTTTATTTGCCTTATGGTTCTGTAGGCTGTGACACCAACTTCTGCTTCTGGTGAGGGCCTCAGGAAGCTTCCACTCATGCCAAAAGTCAAAGAGAAGCCTGTACGTGCAGAGATCACATGGCAAGAGAGAAAGCAAGAGTGAGGGGCGGTGCCAGGCTCTGTTTAAAATTTTTATTTTTTAATTGACAAATGTTAATTGTATTCATGGGTACATAGTGATGTTTTGATACATATATAGTGATCAGATCAGGGTAACTAGAATATCCATTATCCTAAACATCATTTCTTTTGGTTGAGAAAGTTCAATATTCTGCTTCTAGCTTTTTGAAACTATATATTATTATTAATTATAGTCATATGGGATAGAACATTAGAACTCATTCTTTTTATCTAGTTGTAATTTTGTATCCTTTGACAAATCTCTTCAAATCCTCCCTTACCCCTCCCCTCCCAGTGTCCTTGGTTCAGGTTTTTTTTTGTTAGCTTCCACATATGAGTAAGAATATGAGGTGTTTAACTTTCTCTTTTTGGCTTATTTCACTTAACATAATGTCCTCTAGTTCCATTCACATTACTACGAATGGCAGGATTTCAGTATTTTTTTTATGGCAGAATAGTATTCCATTGTGTATATACAACATATTTTCTTCATCCATCTGTTATTTGACACTTAGGTTGATTCCATATCTTGAGTATCTTTATTGGTGACAGGGTCTCATTCTGTCAGCACGATGCAGTGCAGTGGTGCCATCACAGCTCACTGTAGCCTCGACCTCCTTGGGTTCAGGTGATCTTCCCACCTCAACCTCCTAAGTAGCTGGGACTACAGGTGCACCATGTCACCAGGCCTGGCTAATTTTTGCATTTTCTGGTAGATACAGGGTTTTGCCATGTTGCCCAGGCAGGCTGGTCTTGAGCTCCTGGGCTCTGCCCACCCCAGCCTTCCAAAATGCTGAAATTAGAGGCATTAGCTAGCGCACTCAGCCATATAGAGTTCTATTTGTAGTATTTTTTTTTAATTGGAATATTTATTTATTTTAAGTTTTGATTTAGGTTCAGGGGTACATGTACATGTTGTTATATTTGTAAACTCATGTCACAGGGGTTTGTTGTACAGATTATCTCGTCACCCAGGTATTAAGCCTAGTATCCATTAGTTATTTTTCCTGATCCTCTCCCTCTTCCTACCCTCCATTCTCTGGTAGGCACCAGTGTCTTTTGTTGCCCTCTATATGTCCATGTGTTCTCATCTTTTAGTTCCCAGTTGTAAGTGAGAATATGTGCTATTTGGTTTTCTGTTCCCATGTTAGTTTGCTAAGGATAATAGCCTCCAGCTCCATCCTTGTTCCTGCAGAGGACAGGATCTTGTGCTTTTCTATGGCTGTATAGTATTCCATGGTGTATGTGTTCCACATTTTCTGTAGTCTGCCATTGATGGACATTTAGATTGATTCCATGTCTTTGCTATTGTGAATAGTGCTGCAGTGAACATACACATGCATATGTCTTTATGATAGAATGATTTATATTCCTCTGGGTATATATGTAATATTGGGATTGCTGGGTCGAATGGCAGTTCTGTTTTTAGGACTTTGAGGAATTGCCACACTGTTTTTCACAATGGTTGAACTAATTTACACTCCTGTCAACAGTGTTTAAGCATTCCTCTGTCTCAGCAGTCTCACCAGTACCTGTTATTTTTTGAGGTTTTTGTTTTTTGCATGTAGCTTTTTTAAAAAAATTATTTTTAAGTTAAATTTTAAAATTTCAATGGGGTTTTTGGAAACAGGTGGTGTTTGGTTACATGAGTAAGTTCTTTAGTGGTGATTTCTGAGATTTTGGTGCACCCATCACCCGAGCAGTGTACACTGTGCCCAATGTGCAGCCTTTTGTCTCTCACCCACCTCCCACTCCTCCCCCAACCGAGTCCCCAGAGTCCATTGTATCATGCTTATGCACTTGCATCCTCATAGCTTAGCTCCCACTTACAAGTGAGAACATACGATGTTTGGTATTTCATTCCTGAGTTACTTCACTTAGAATAATGGTCTCCAGTTCCATCCAGGTTGCTGTGAATGCCATGATTTTTTTTTTTTAATGGCTGAATAGTCCATGGCCTGTGTGTGTGTGTCTGTACCACCACATGTTTTCTTTATCCACTCATTGACTGATGGGCATTTGGGCTAGTTCCATATTTTTGCAATTGAGAATTGTGCTGTTATAAACGTGCGTGTGCATGTGTCTTTTTTGTATAATGACTTGTTTTCCTCTGGGTAGATACCCTGTAGTGGGATTGCTGGATCGAATGGTAGATCTACTTTTTGTTCTTTAAGGAATCTCCACATGTTTTTCATAGTGGTTGTATCAGCAGTATAAAAGTATTATCTTTTCACCACATCCATGCCAGTATCTATTATTTTTTAATTTTTAAATTATGACCATTCTTACAAGAGTAAGGTGGTATCTCATTGTGGTTTTAATTGCATTTCTCAGATGATTAATGATGTTTAGCATTTTTTCATGTGTTTGTTGGCCATTCGTATATCTTCTTGAGAAGATTCTCAATGGACAATTCTTGAGAATTGTGTATTCCTGTCCTTAACCCATTTTTTGATGTGATTATTTGTTTTTCTCTTCTTGATTTGTTTCACTTCCTTGTAGATTCTGGATATTAGTCCTTTGTTGGATGCATAGTTTGCGAAGATTTTCTCCCACTTTGTGGATTATCTATTTTCTCTGCTGATTATTTCTTCTGCTGTGCAGAAGCTTTTGAGTTTAAGTAGGTCCCATCAATTTATCTTTGTTTTTGTTTCATTTGCTTTTGTGTTTTTGGTTATGAAGTCTTTGCCTAAGCCAGTGTCTAGAAGGGGTTTTCCAGTGTTACCTTGTAGAATTTTTATGGTTTCAGGTCTTAAATTTAAGTCTTTGATCCATCTTGAGTTGATTTTTTTTTTTTTTTTTGAGATGGAGTCTCACTCTGTTGCCCAGACTGGAGTGCAATGGCATGATCTGGGCTCACTGCAACCTCTGCCTCACAAGTTTAAGCAATTCTCCTGTCTCAGCCTCCCGAGTAGCTGAGATTACAGGTGCCTGCCACCACGCCTGACTGATTTTTTTATTTTTAGTAGAGATGGGGTTTCACCATGTTGGCCAGGTTGCTCTTGAACTCCTGACCTCAAGTGATCCACCCGCCTCAGCCTCCCAAAGTGCTGAGATTACAGGCATGAGCCACTGCACCCGTCTTTGAGTTGATTTTTGTGTAAGGTGAGAGATGAGGATTCAGTTTCATTCTTTTACATGTGACTTGCCAATTATCCTAGCACCATTTGTTGAATAGGGTGTGTCCTTTCCCCACTTTATGTTTTTGTTTGCT